AAAAAAAAAATTAAAATAATAAAAAAAGAAACCTTGAAATGTTTGAGGCCCCACTTCACCTTGCTCTAAATCCAAGATTCTCTGATTTGATGTCATGCTTTTCTGTGCCTCAGTTTCCCCTCTGTAGTGGGGTCAGTTGTCTTTCCAGCTCTATTTTGGTGCTGGGAGTGTTGAGAGTTAAGAGGCAACAGGAACAGTTAAACACTCTGGCGGTTTTCTTTTCTTCTTCTTTTTTTGGGGGGAAGGGGGTTTGCGACAGGGTCTCACTCTGTAGTCCAGGCTTCCAACTCAAGGAAATCCTCCTGTCTCAGCCTCTCAATTGCTGGATTAGAGCTGTCACCACCACACCTGGCCGCACCTTCTGGCTTTTGGAGTCAATAGGAGCCACCTTTCCCTGGCTGGGAAGCCTTATTGCAGAATGGGTCCTGGTTACACCTGCCAGGTGGGCCAAGGCCCAGCTCTTCAGGCCTGCGGCACAGCTCCAGGCCCTCCGAAGCCTCAGTGGTGTTGCTGCTGCCAGTGTTACTCTCCAGCCCGGCCAGGGTGCCTGGAGGAGGATTGCAGTGTGGCAGTCCCAGGAGCTCTTTGCTTTGTCGCTGGCCTCCTCATCACTCAGGTGTCCCAGGCGCCCCTGCCCTCCACCTTCCTGACCTTGATCCAGGCAGACTCCGTACCCCTTTGACATGGGGTTGAGGGATGGCTGCTCAGGGCTGAGGCTGCTGTCTCACAGGTTGCTCGGCCCTGTCGACCCCCTTCAAGATGAATGATGCTCAGGACTCTGCCACTGTCCTTGTGCTATCACCCGGGCAAAGTGTGAGGGCTGTGGGTGTCCCCACCCTCTCCAGGACCAGGATCTCCGGGCCTTCCTTGACCTCCCGGGTGAGCTTGGAGTCCTACCCAACAATTTTTCTGCTCAGGGATTATAGTTAAATATCTTCATTTAGACCAGCTGGTAATTTAGGTGAAAGCATGCCTTTAAATTTACAACCCAATTGTATCATGAAAAAAATTTTGTTGAGCTCAAAAATAAAGGAGAACAGCTGTTCACAAAATGACAAATTTGGGGGCTGCCATGGGAGGGGCGTCGGGCCAAGCACGCAAAGGCTGAGAAAGGTGGGACCTCGCCTTGCCTTCCTGGCCTTGGAGGCCTCAGCCCCCCGCCCTCACAGGCGACCCGCGTGGTGGACAGGAGGGCGCGTGTCAGAATGTGCCCTGAGTGGTGACACGGGCTCTGGTGCTTTTGATGCCACTTGCATCTAGGGGGCAGTAACTGGGTCCCCTCTTTCTCTGCTCTCCTCCCAGAGGACAGTTTTTTCGGGAATTCCCCTTCAAAGACCCGTTTCCAGCTTTCTGATCAGGTGAGGGGAACAAGTGGGGTAGAGTGTGGGGCCCGGAAGAGGATCTGGAGGAGCCCAAGTATGAGAGTCTCCGCTGGGCCCCGAGGTCAGACTGATGCTCCCAGACAGGGCAGCTCCTGCACCAGAGGGATGGGCCAGGTGGGCTCCCCG